CGCCTCCTCCTTTTTCTATTCTCCTTCTTTCCTTTGATCTTCCTTCCAATTTCTTTTTCTATTCTTCTTCTTCTTTGCTCTGATCTTCCTTCCTTCCTTTCCTTTCCTTCCTTTCCTTCCTTCTTTCCTTCCTCTGCTCCATTTCAACCGGAATGCACACACCCCTCCAACCCAGAAGTAGCGCTGAGTCTCCAACCTAAAAGCTTATCCCACATTTATCCAATCATCTTCCCAGTCTTTTCAATCCATCCAAGCTTGTGGTCATCACTGCATCTTGTGCCAGTGAGTTCCACGGATTAACCTTGGGCTGTTTCCTTTAATTTCCTTTCCATCTCTTTTTTCGACCACTTTCCGCAGGTGGATGGCTTTCCCCAAGGGAAAAGGAGAAGGATCCAGTAGGGAGTATGTGCTGCCCCGCGCCCCAGCTTCTGCTCCTGTTGTAGGGCAGGGAAGGAAGGAGGAAGAGCCAGCTTCCTTCTAGGTCAACAGAGGGAAGTGATCCAATCGGGCTGCCTAAAAGGGAGGCAATGCCCAGCTCCAGGGACAGAGGATCAGTTGCGGAAAGAGAGAATGTACAGGCAGACTTCCCCCACCCTTTCTCACGTACACACACACACACACACACGCCTCTGGCTGACTTCCGAAGAGCAAGAGATGCCCCTTGTCTAGTTTTGATGTGATTCCTGCCTTCAGGCATATGTTCTGACCAAGGCTTCTGGGACCGTAATTATGCACACGCTTGTTTTAAAAATAAGTCTTATTTCAGTGCAATGCTGGGAATTATTTTCATTCCCAGCCGGTAATGAATCTCAAACCGTTCCTCAAGATAAGCACCCACCTTTCGTTCCTATGAAGTGCTGCCAAGAACAGAAGTGTCAAATAAACTAGAGCAAGAACCAACCGAAGTATAAAGAGCTTCAAGAATGAATCTGAACCGAACGAACGACTTTGCTTCCTGCAAAGGTTTCGTCATCTTGGTCTGACTTTTATCCCTTATGGGAGGGGCAATCACCTCCCAGCCTTACTCCCGAGTCGCCCCCTTTTGTTTCAGCTGCTCTCGCCTTCTAGCAGCTCTGCACATACGCGCACTGGGAACAGGCTCCCCTGGGTCCTCTGCCTCGCTGCTGCCAGACTCCAGAGGCTCCAGAGTCAACACCCCACTCCCAGATGGTCCTGGCCCGATCTCTGCATCAAACGCGGGACCCTCGTCCAAGTCCTCTCCAGACTCCCTGACTGGTCCCCTTTCTTCCCCGCCGTCCGATTCCGCTGCCATCTGCACAGGCTGCTGTCGAATCACAACAGTGACCTTCACAGGGACAATCACACAACTTCCCTGGTAGCCTTCTGAACTCTTCCAGAGCACCACGCTCCATCCTACCCCCCTGCACCCACCCCCCCATCGCCACAGGACCATCTGGACAAAATGGAAAAACAGAAAACCTTGTCATAAGGAAAAATTTCTGTGCAGAAAAATTGTTTCTGGAGCGGTATAATTTATATATGAAAGCAGAACATCCCATTAAAAGCAGAAGTCTGTGAATGCATCAACAACGATCGGCAGGAATCATTGGTCGTGTTGTTGTCGTCCCCGCCCCAGCCAAATTGCGAATATTCCCTGGAATTCAAACGGTCCAAACCCTTCCTTAAATCCAACCTCTCTTAACAAAACTGTGGTTTGAAATCCTTGTAATTTAAATTTCCCCCTGCCTTTTTAATAATAAAAATTATGAAATTACCAATTTTTTTTTTTTATTTAAAAAAAATCTGCAAAAAAGGCTTTCCTCGATAACAGCCTTCTTTCAAACCTTGGACCCCTCTCCCCTCCCCCCATGAATTTGCACAAATGTGCATTAGAAGAGATTGGCTGCATTTCGGGGGTGGGGGGGTGGGGGGGTGAAATACATCTATGGCAGAAACGGGCCATTTCAGAGGTTGCAGGGAAAGGGCGTTCAATAAAATAACCCCCTTTTTAATTTAAATGCTAATGCACTGAATTAAAATTTAATAACTGAGGAAATTGAAAAGCCAAGCAGGAATATTGGAAATAAATCCAAGCAGAAACAGCTGAAATTAAAAATTCTAGAGAGGAGGAGGACAGAAGCTAAGCTGTCTTATACAATTATATTTTTTTTCCCATAACAATGTAGGGGAATGGACGCTATCTATGGGCAGCCTTAGGGCGATAAATTGAAAGCTGGGTGATTTATTGTTTAATTTTCCTAAGGGGGAAAAAAGGTTCTCTTTCATGCTAAAATATTTCATAAATTTCCACCTGGTATAAATTTTTAAATTAAAAGTTATGTAGGTCATATTCGGTGCATCAGCACAATTCTGAAATCTTACATAAATACACGTAACAGGGTGGGATGAGGGGGGGGGGTAGAAAATTACAATTCTAGATATTTCTTTTGATTCCTTTTATAGAAGATTTCTCTTTTACACAGCAACCAAGGCTGGAAGTGGTAAAACATATATACAAAGATTTATTTATTTTTTCATAATTTTAAAAGTTCTCCCAATTAAAACAGGTTTGCCTTACAGAATTTTCTCATTAAGATAAATCAAGGAACTTGCAAGCCATAGCAGCTCCTCCCCGCCCCGGATAAGCTACAGAAATTGCCAATTCTTATAAAGCTTCATGGCAACCCATCAAAAACTAATGGATGTCTTGGGCTTTCTCAAAGGAAAACGATTTTTTTCTTTGTCCAAATCACCAGGACATTCTCATTTGAAAAGGCACCCAGAGGCCGGTGAGTGCAGAGGCCACTGAGATCCACGAGATTTAAGCTCACACTCAATGCACACACCACCCTGTGTGATCCTGGACCAGCAGCTCTTCCACCTGAGACCTGGAGTGAACAAAGGGCGGGCAGGAACTTGACAAAAGGGAGATGGAAGTGACAAAGGCCATGATACAATCCCAATGGCTAAAACCTCCGTGGGTACCTTGCCCGCCACACAGGAGATCTAGGCCCTGTGAGGTTTGGGTGATTAGCCTGCTGACCAGTGGTGGGATTCAAAAACTTTTACCACCAGTTCGGCGGGCGTGGCTTGGTGGGCACGCTTTGCACACACTTTGCCTGCATGCGTGCGCCAAACACGCACTTTGCACAGGCACAGAGGTGTTTCCGCAGGCGTAGAGGTGTTCCACCTTACCTCCTGCAAGCCTGCACTCTCCCGGTCGCTTCAGCAGCTGCCGTGTGGCACCCTTATGTGCCGCGGAAAGCGGCTGCGCTTCAAAAGCAGAGGATCAAAGTGAGCATGGGAGCCCAGGCGGGTGGGCGGGGTCAACAACAGAGTGGTGGAGAGAACCGGTTCCGTCTCCGCGGCTCATTGCTGCTACCGGCTAGGCAGAACCGTGCTGAACCGGTAGCATACCACCACTGATGCTGACATACTGTTCTGACCAACGCCCTTTTCCAATAAATCAAACACAATCCAAAAGGAACAGGAACCTTGTTAATGCTTTTACAAAATATTTAGCTGTGATAAGCACAAGCCTTGCCAAACTGTGTGAGACTTGCCAACAGATAACAGACAAGAAATAATTTGCAAAAAATAAGAATCTTTAAATACAAACTCAGGATACTGGAATGTCCACGAGGCTGGAGTTTCAAAATGTCTTTGCCTTCTGCAAAGTACATTTATTTCACAGCTGGCTTTTATCTTCTTGAAGGAGGGGCCATTACCTTGCAGCCTTACTCCCAAGTCACCCATGCTGTTGTAGCTGCTCTTTCCTACGAACAATCCTGTGCGCACCTGCACTTGGCACAGGCTCCTCAGGAACCTCCTCATCGCTGCTGCCAGCCCCCACAATCTCTGAAGGCAGCAGTCTACTCCCTAATGGTCCTGGCCCCTCATCTGAGTCCTCGCTCTCCTCAGTCGTCCGCATCTGCTGCCGGCTAACCACAACACCTACTCCACAAAACAGTCACCGACCAGGGGTGAAATTCAACCACCTCGGCCCCAAGCCACATCCACAGAACCAGTAGTAAAAAAAAATTTGAATCCCAAGGTCAGGCCCATTGAGTGCTGTGCCTCCCACCGAGTATATTCTTCCCACCTTCCTGCAAAGCTGCTCCCACAGGTAAAAATACTGTCCACGCTTACCAAGTAGCCGTCCTAATGCTAGGAATGAGGTTTCCTAGCAGAGGCATTTGCCACAGGCTTCAAGGATGCCTCAGAAAGAGGCATTTATCAGATCCGTTAAGTCCTGAACCATGCAAATCATCAAAATACAGATCATCAAAATGGAAGAGCTGTTGCAATTTTCATTTAAAAATTCTACATCTAACTGCAGTCCAAGAATAAATTGATAAACTGCCACAGGAAACGTTCTGATGCAAAGATTCACGCAACAAAACAGCATCTTTTCTGAAAAATAAGACTGCCCTGGGAAAACAAATCCCTCAAGGGCTCACCTGCTGAGCATCACCTGACAGGCCTTAAAGGCAGATCAGGTATCCTGGAAAAAGACCCCAAGCTGACCACCTGCTCCAATCCTCTCTTCCTCCAATCTCTTCAACCTCCCTGTGTTAATAGCAGTACGAGACACCTAACAAACCAATTATAAAAATAAAAATTGCCTTTATTAGGGGCAGAACCACATTTACAAGTCCTGAACTCTGAGTTTTCAGAAAAGTGATGTCCATATGTGTTTCCAGATACCACCTCAAGCTATGGCACTTCAACCCCTCCCTACAAAACTTCTAATGTCCTAATCCAACATAAGAAAAAAAAGAGAGAGCTTCTGTACTTTGTAATAGGCA